GTTTTTATAATTCCATGTGTGAGAATACCTGGTATAGCTAAATCCATAATTTCTTTTCTTTTCCAAAAAGCATTTTTTTATGACTTAGGTTTTTAAATTCACTATAGATCATTTCCCTCATGATAATTTACTGGGATTTCACATTTTATAGATTGAGAGGAAGGAAATAGATATCAAATCAATATTAACTACATATCAAGGTATGTGCTATGCATCTTATTGACTTTATTTTTTGTTTTTATGGTATTATTCATGTGGATCCCAAAGACTTGCTATAGTAATATCAAAATGTTGTATGTTGCAACTTAAAATTGGATTTGTTTCTGTTTGCAGTTTAACTGCTATTCTTTTTGTTTTTTTGTTTTTGGTTTTTTGAGACAGGGTCTGGCTCTGTCACCTAGGCTGGAGTGCAGTGGCACGATCTTGGTTCACTGCAACCTCTGCTTACTATGTTCAGGCAGTCTTCCTGTTTCAGCTTTCTGAGTAGCTGGGACTACAGGCACGTGACACCATGCCTGGACAATTTTTGTATTTTTTGTAGAGATGGGGTTTCACCATGTCGCTCAAGCTGGTCTTGAACTCTTGGACTCAAGCAATCTGCCTGACTCTGACTCCTGAATTCCTGGGATTACAGGCATGAACCATGGTGTCTGGCCACATGCTGATTTTATAGCTCATTGGAATTCTGGACACAATTACAAGCTCCAAAACTTCTTGTAGATTCTCTTGGGTTTTCCTGGTAGATTATCTGCTAATACTCTGTTCAAATTCCTGAACCTCTCACTCTCTGCCTGAGCACCTGGGTCCTAACCATGTGCTGCCCTGTGACACTTTTCCCATCACTATCCTGATCATCACTTGGGCCTCTCTTTCTGTTCAGCAAGTTGCATGTTTATGCCTTGGATCCACATCTCGATTTTAATGTTCTGCACATCCAGCCCAGAGCTGCCCCCACTGCAGCCACCTAGTCAATAACTATTGACTTATCTGATTCAAGAGCAAGACTAGAGGTAAGACGTCCAAGGAGCCCAGTTCTTCCTCGTATGTACTGAGAGTGTTCTGGGTTTAGAGGTGTCGGGTGATTTTTCAAATAGTAGGCAGAATTTGGAATTTGGCTAAGGGTTCAGTCCTTACGAACAGCAAGCCTGTGTAACACTCATGGTGCTCCAGGCGCTGGTCTGTGGACTTTACGCATGTTAACTCATTTAATCTTCGGAACAACCTGATGGAATGGGTACCATGATCGCACCCATTTTTCACGTGAAGCTTTTAAACATGGAGTGTCCGAGGTGACACAGGTAGAAAAAGAGAGCCAGGATTCCAACTGAGGCAGCGTGTCTCCCGAATTCAGGTTCCTAACCATCACACCTACTGTCTCTTGGAGGGATACATGCACAGGTTTTCACGTTGATCTCCTCAGTACAACATGTTAGGCAACCTCCTGACTTTGACCTTTTGAGTGGCAGGCAGTTTTCAGTCCACCCCAACATGCCTCTCCAATCTATTCCAGCCCCCATTTTATTCTCTCTCTCGCCGCAAACAGCCTAGCTTGCCTGGTCTGGAAACAAAGACTTTCTCCCATTTTCCAGGGCCCCATGTCTAAGGCACCAGCTACAGCTATCGTCTAATTAGAGCAGAAGTTTACCGTGCCCCACCAAGCTTGGGTCATTATGTAAAATCATTATTAGATGACTGCCTTGATAGGGTCCTGGGCAGGAAATAAGAATGACAGGGCCCTTGTTGATAGGGAAGGGGATGCTGAGCAGCCCGGCCTGGCTGTGTGCACAGCACTCACTTTCATCACCAGCTGATCGACAGGTTGCCAAAGACGTTCCTGGTGATGTGGTTGATCACAGAGGTGGGGGTTCTCTCTGAGAATGCTGGCTGAGATTCCCAGCTGGACTGGTTTGTCTTGTGGTTCTGATTTCCAATTGTAGAAAACAGGAGCTAATCAAAGGCTTGGCTGTGAATGCTTCCAGTTTAGCAACTTCACACGGGACAGAGACAGGAATGTGCTGACTGCATCATAAATACAGAATCACCAAAATTCAGACTGTGAAAATCTTCATAGGTCACAGGGCCCAGGCACTGTGACATAGGAGTTCTAAAAAAAAAAGATAGGCATAAAAGGGAAACCTGGAAACTTAAGAGACTTACCAAGATTTACCAAGTGGGTGACATGACCTATGCTGTCTAGGGAGGCACTGGGTTGGTGAAGCCATGCAGGCTGTAGGGAGGTGGTTGACTGTGAGAATCAGCATGAGGGTTACTTTTGGAGGGAGGGAGAGACTGTGATTGGGACACAGCCATGGAGGAGACTCTGGCTAGGTGCTCTTTCTTGACTTAGTCTTGGTGATAAGAACATTTGTTTATAATATTTCACTAAGCTATACATTTTTTGTACCTGTGTTTAATTTTAAAATAAAAAGGCTAAAAAGCAGAGCCCTGAACAGTTTCATTTCTATGGACAGGAGTCTACAGACAAGGGAAGCAAGAAGTCCAGTTAGGAGGCTGTTGGAAAACCAGGAGGAGGATGATGAGGCTTAACCCAAGATGACGGCAGCAGAGACCAGGCGTCGCATTCGGATTCCAGATGAACTGGAAGGAAGAACCAACAGGAGTCTCAGACACATCGAATCGAGCATGGGAGAAGGAGGAGAAGCAAGGTCAGCCTGTTGCCTCTCTCCGACATAATTGTGCACCTGGCGAACATCATGGCCGATCAAAGACATTGGAGGGATGAGATGAGGGTTTCACAAAAGTGATTAAAAAAAAGAAAAACAGCTATTGTCTCTGGGAAGATGACGCCAGTCCAGGGAGGAAACAAATGGTAGTTAGTAGATGTTCTTTTCCACCAAAAGGGTCATGCCTATCGCAGAAGCTCCCAGTAGCCATTTGCTGGAAACAGGATAGCCCAGAGACATTTGAATACATTTGATATGTCTTGAAACTATAATACCCAAATCTGACTGTCTGTTCAGTGCCGCAATCTGACTGTCATATTTGAGTATTATAGTGTCATAAAATGAGTTAGGAAGTGTTTCTTCCTCTTGTATTTTCTGAAAGCGTTTATGATCTCAGCCCTTAAGGAGGGCTGAGACAACCCAACACTTTAGATACGCATTGCCAGGAGATCTGTGGCATCGAGACGACCAACCCCTTCCCACAACCCGACATCTATTTTACCTCTTAAATTCAAGATAAACAAGGTAGCCTTTCGTTGCTGATCATTACCCATTTGATGAATTGAATAATCCATCTCGCCTCCTTAAAAATGTCAAGTTCATAAAGTAAGGAACAAAGACTTTTAAATATTTTAAGGGAAAAGATTGTCAACAACCAACTCTACTACATTATTTTTATATGTCACACTTAGATTGGCAAAACAGCAATGTGTAGGTATGTGTCTTATGAACGTCTGCTTTTTAGCAATGAGAATCTTATTTTCCTATTGGCTGTTATTATTAATTCTGACAGGTTTAACTTATTTTTTGCTCTCTCACTAGCTTTATGGTTTTCCAGGTCTGCCCCTCCTGCAGTATGTAATACAATTTTTATTTTTTAAATTAGAGACAGGTTCTCGCTGTGCTGCTTAGGCTCGAGTTCAGTGCCACAATCGCAGCTGCCTGCAACCTTGAACTCCTGGGCTCAAGCAGTTCTCCCGCCTCAACCTACCAAGTGCCTGCAGTGGCTACAGGAATGTGCCACCACTCCTGGTTAATTATTTTGTTTTTGTTTTCTGTACAGTTGGGTGTTTCGCCATGTTGCCCAAGCTGGTCTCAAAGTCCCAGTCTCAAGTGATCCTTCTGCCTTGGCCTCCCAAAGTGCTGGGATAACAGATGTGTGTCACCACACCCCGCCTGCCATAATACAATTTTCAGGCCAACTTTTCCCTGGACCAGGGGAGCTGCTGAAGTCTAGACTCCTAGAAAAATCCTGATGTCCTGCTCATAAACAGACATCCTATATGAGCTGAGTTTTTCTTTTTTTTTTCTTTTTTCTTTTTTTTTTTGCAGAAACGCTGCCTGCAGCTTTAAATGGGCTCCCCAGCCTCGAATTCTGGGAAGTTGGCAGCCAGCAACACTAGGATTGAGTTATGATGTCAGCCTTCCAGAATTCCTAATGAACTCCAGAGCAAAAAATGCTGTTACTCTGCCTCCCCCAAGTCACATTTCTAGTTGATTAATGAGCAAAGGAATAGAAAAATCTATGGCTTTAGAGATGGAAGAAGAGTGAAATAATTTTTGCTTTAAGAAATCACCGTGCCCCGATTATTTTATTTGTTAAGAAAAGGGATTTCATTTTCTATTTATTTCCCCCTTTAAATCTAGATTTAGACCCCCCTTCTCCCTTCCCAGCCATAAAAAGCAGGTTTGGCTCTCTCTATACCCCTCCCTCTACCTTCATCCCTGCTTATTTGATCCAAGATAGAAAATCCAGCCCTGCCCTTTTGGGGGCAGTTGTCTTAGCTCCTTGAGGTCTGGTTAAAATCTCATTTAGCATACATGAAATAAATCTGCAACCCTCCATTAAAAGCCATGGCCTCCTTGCTGCAAAGACATACACCCAGGTGAAAGCTGTGGTTGCTTATGTCCAGCTCACCCCCTTTGTAGCCCTGCCCTGGCATGGGCTGTACATCCTCCCACTGGCTGGGACATCCAGGGCAGTTGATCCTTCAGGGGAAAGTCTCTCTGCACAATTACCCTGCTCCATATCCACACCTTCTGTGAGGCTGCTTAGGCTAATTGAAATTCATGCTTCTTTGGAGAAATGTCTATTGAAGTCCTTAGCCATTTTTTAATTGGTTTATCAGGGATTATTTTGCTGTAAAGTTGTAGGCGTCTCATATATTTTGGAAATTAACCCTTAACAGACACATAGTTGGCAAATATTTTCTCCCATTCTGTAGGCTGCCTTTTTACTCTGCTAATTGTTTCCTTCATTGTGCAGAAGCTGTTTGGTTTGGCATAGTCATATTGTCTATTTTTGCTTCAGTTGCCCACACTTTTGGTGTTGTATCCATGAAGTCATTGCCAAGACCAGTGTCATGAAGCTTTCCCCTATGCTTTCCTCTAGGAGCGTTATAGTTTTAGGTCTTACATTTAAGTCTTTAATCGATGTTGAGGTGATGTTTGTAAATGGTGCAAGACAATGATAAGGGTCTAATTTCATTCTTTTGCATATGGATGTCCAGTTTTCCCAACACTATTTGTTGAAGAGGCTATCCTTTCCCTATTATGTATGCTTGGCACTCATGTTGAAGATCATCTGACCATATATTTCGATATTTATTTCTGGGCCCTCTATTTACTATAATTCCATTCATCTATAGGTCTGTCTTTATGCCAGCACCATACTGTCTTAATGACTATAACTTTGTAATTAGGAAATGTTATGTCTCTAATTTTATTCTTCTTTTTCAAGATTATGTTGGCTATTCTGGGTCTTTTGTGATTCCAAATAAATTTTCAAATTTTTTTTTTTTGTTTCTGCAAAAAAAATTTCATGGGATTTTGATAGGAATTGCTTTGAATCTATAGATTGCTTAGGGCAATATAGGCATTTCAACAGAATTAAGTCTTCCAATCCATGAACATGAGACATCTCTCCATTTGTTTGTGTCTTCTTTAATTTCTCTCATCAATATTTTGTTATTTTCAGTGTATGGATCATTCACTTCCTCAGTTAAGTTTGTTCCTAAGTATTTTTTTGATGCTATTGTAAACTGGATTGATTTCCTAATTTCCTTTTCAGATAGTTTGTTGTTAGTATATAGAAACATAACTGATTTTTCTATGTTGACTTTGTATCCTGCAACTTTACTGAATTTGTTTATTAATTCTAACAGGCTTTTTTTTATATAGAATTTTTAGGGTTTTCCATATATAAGATTATGTCATTTGCAAAAGGGAAAGTTTAACTTCCTCTTTTCAAATTTAGAGGCCTTTTATGTCTTTTTCTTGCCTAGTTGTATTGGCTAGGACTTTCAGTACTATGTTTAATAGAAGTGGTGAGAAAGAGCACCCTTGTCTTTCAGTTTTTCACCATTGACTGTAATGCTAGCTGTGAGCTTTTCATATATGGCCTTTATTACATTGAGTTAATAATTTTTCTCTATGCCTAGTTTTTGAACGTTTTTATGATGAAAGAGTATTGAGTTTCATCAAATGCTCTTTTTCTATCCCTTGAGATGATCATGAGATTTTTCTCCTTCATTCTGTTAATGTAATGTATCACATACAGCAGCTATATGTCACATACAACAGCTATATGAAAAGATGTTCAGCATCCCTAATCATCAGGTGAATACAAATTAAAACCAAAATGAGATGTCACCTCACATCACCTTTTAGGATGTCTGTTATCAAAAAAGCAATAGACAGTAAGTGTTGATGAGGAGGTGGAGAAACTGGAACCCTGCTACACTATTGGTTGGAAAGCTACTGTGGAAAAAAGCATAAAGCTTCCTCAAAAAACTAAAAATAGAACTATTTTTATCATATGAACCAGCAATCTCACTTCCGGGTATTTATTCAAAAGAACTGGAATTAGGACCTTGAAGAGATCTCCACACTCCCCTGCTCCTTGCAACACTGTTCATAGCAGCCAAGATGTGAAAGCAACCTTGACTGCTGGATGAATGGATTTTTAAAATGTGATGTAATACATATATGTAATAACATACTATCCAGCCTTTAAAAAGAAAGAAATCTTACAATCTATGACAACATGGATGACCCTGGAAAGCATCATGCTAAGTGAAAAAGGCTGGTCACAGAAGGACAGATGCTACATGATTCCATTTATAGGATGTATCAAAAATAGGCAAACTCATAGAAGCAGAGAGTAGAATGGTGGTTGCCAGAGGCTTGCGGGGAGGCTGAAAGGGGAACTTTCTAATCGACAGGTGTAACATTACACTTAAGTGAGAGGAATACGTCCTAGAGATCTGCCATCTGATGTTGTACGTACAGATAGCAATACTGTACTGTATACTTAAAAGCCTGTGCAAGGGTAGATCTCATATTAAGTGGTAAGAACTTATCACAATCTAAAAAATAAGAAATTGAAATACGGTCTCTTCAATAGAGGCCTTGGAATATTTTCTAGACAGAACCCACAATCTTCTTCAGAAATTAACTTAGCACTTGTGGCCATCATATCCTCTTCCCTTAGTTTTCCTAGTAGCAAGTGCTTTGTTTACATATTTTACTCAAATTTAATAAAGACATTCCATCATAAAGATGGTTTTTAAAGAGTCAATCTGTGTGTGATTTTAATTAGGATTAGCATCAGGTTGGGCAAAGCTTTGAGAGGGAGTGAAAACCAAGAGCTGGGCATGCACAGGGTGGGGTGGCAGGGGGTGGGGGTTATTGATAACCTTCCTGCCATACATACACCGTAGAGGCCAACAGGCACGTGTCCCCATTCTGAAAGGAGATGGGAAGCTGGGGGTCCCATTTGGCTGGTTGGCTCAAGTCTCCATTAGCTGGGATTTCTGGAATTTTCCCTCATTGAAGTTTTGATGGCCAGGGTCTGCACACCCCACCCCATCAAAGACAAGAAAGATTCAGAGTCTCAGGCTCCCATCCACCCCAGGCCTGAGGAGTCACACCCTTGGAATTTTGCTTCTAGACTTACAACGGGCCCTGGGTTGGTTATGAACAGAAGCAGAACAGCTACTACCCAGTGAGGCATGCGCTATTCCACTCAGTGTTGACCACCCAGGATCAAGTGACTTAGCACAGTGCCTAGCAAGTCCTGAGGGTAACTATTATGAATATGACCACTTTGTGTTTCTTTTCCTATGTTTTCAGTTTTTGTGAGATCAGAAACTAGGTTTGTCTTTGTATTCTAAGGGCCTAGAACATTTTTGTCCCATAATTGTGGCTCAGTAAACATGTTTGTTGATTTCTTCATGAATGAGATACTCAACAGAGCCCTCTGTAAGCAAGAAAATATTTACATCATTGGGAATGCACTTGGCTGCAGTTGCAGAACCCCTGACTAGCTCCATCTTGTGCTCTTTTCAGACAGCTTCTTGTCTCATATGAACAAGACATCTGAAGCCTGGAGATTCCAGGGCTGATGTGGCAACAGTGCGATGCCCGCCATGGATACAGGGCCATTCCATGTTTCTTCCCTGCCTTCCTCAGCGTGTTAACTTTCCATCTTTATGTCCGCATCTTCACGGTCACAAGACGGCTGCCAAGTTCCAGCTCTCCCACCCCTAGAAAGGAAAAAGAATCAGTGTTAAAAAGCTTTGTCATGAGATTTTGTCAATTTTTACTTCAAAGTGGGCAACCCGCTAACACACTTCTCTTTACACCTCATTAGCCAGACGGATTCACACAGCAACTCCTGCACCAGTCACTGGCAAAAGGAAAGGATGTACCATGGTGGTTTCAGGCCAAATCAATCCTCTGTGACTGAAGACAGGCTAGCTTCTCTGAGATCCTGAGATCCTCATCTCTTTCCTTGACACGATATTGGGGATCTGTTTGTAGGGAAGAAGGGGGAGGTGATGGTTGTCGTGTAGACAGCCGAGAGTGTCAGTGACTACTATGACTGCTGTCGTTGTTGCTAGAAGATCTTGTAACCCTGTGAAACTCGACCCTTATGATCAGCTCTACTGCAATAAAGTGGACGATGGTAGGTCCAGGAGCAAAGGAAGGCCAGGGGTATAGTCCTGGCTCTCCGCAACACAGGTCATGGCATTTCTAGAATGTGCTCTTGATACAGAAAGGCTGGGCTCCCAGTGAAACCCTGCCCATAAGCCTGGAATCATGGCCTTAAGTGAAAACAGCTGACCTCGTTTTTCTGCCCAAATGCTGCCTTTTTTTCACCTGCCCTACCCCTGTCCTGTGCCCCATTAAAGACTTCAGCTGGCAAAGCAACACAACTGGCTGAGTGTCAAGGATACAAGCGGCCGAACAGCGAAGAGAGAAGCAGCTGAGCATCGGAGGTCATGGATAGACACAGCTAGCCTCACAGTGTGGCTTCAGGGAGGGGCCTGGCCAGAGACAGCTGGGCTTCAGGGACAGATCACCTTCCCATCCCCTTTCCAGCCCTGCTTTCCGCTGAGAGCCACCTGCTGCTCACTAGAGTCTTCCACATTTATCACCTTTCAAACACTTCATGTGACCTGGTTCTTCCTGGTTTCTTGAACAAGAACCTAGGGTGCCAAGAGGGCAGAGGCTGCCACCCTGACCCTCCACTGGGCTGGTTGGCACCTGGCCATCCCTGGACGGCAGAGCTGAAAAAGCACTGGTGGTAACATGCCTGGACGCCGCGGCGGGGTCCTTACGGAGTCTGCTCTGGCCAGAGAGGAGCGACTGGCTGGTTCCAGCAGGAAGAGTGGCCGGCGGTGAGAGCAGTAAAATGAGCTGCTCCGTTCCCGCCTGTGAAGGGGGTCAAGGGAACTATCCTGCCTCACTGTCACTTATGAGATAGGTAGATGGTGGGTAGGACAGAAGAGGCCCTCTTCTCAGGGTCCTGTGGAAACATAAGGTGATGTTTTTGTTGTCACAATAACTGAAGAGCACTGCTGGCATTCCAGGGGACCGGGTCAAGGACATTAAGTCTCTTGCAGTGCTCTGGGCAGCCTTGCACTGGAACAATTGCCTCAAATGCCAATAGCACCTGCTACCTGTTGATGCTCTCTGACATTTGTTTCATCTCAGAAAGGCTACCCTATTCCTCCTTCCTCCCCTTTTCTCCTTCCTCCCCATTCCTCCTTCCTCCCCTTTCCTCCTTCCTCCCCTTTCCTCCTTCCTCCCCATTCCTCCTTCCTCCCCATTCCTCCTTCCTC